CTGCTGTGGAGTTTCACTCCGCAGCAGGATAGTACTTGCATTTATAAGCAAGTATTATCCTGCTGCGGAGTAAATTAGTTTACTCCAGCCTAATAGAGGCGCATGTGTAGATGCTGAGACGCTTACTGTGCAGCTAATTAGCTGACTGCAGTAAACGTTTCGTGTAGATGCACCCAGCGTGTGAGGCTCTATGGCTGGTTTTATGCAGGAGGTCAGCCTAGATGATTACAATGGTACCTTCAGACCTTAAAACCAATGACAACAATACTGCCGCACAAAATGAAACTAACGGATTAGTAGCTTCATTAGTGCTTTATTTAATTTATTTATTTCTACTAATTGTGAGGGAAACACTGGTTTTGAATTAAGGATGCCTACAGAAAAGAGGATTAGGCCTGGAAACCAAAGCTAGGGCAAAATTAAAACCTGATACTTTGGCTCATGAGAATTTATTTGCAAATTCCTAACAAGAGCATTTCTCCATACCCTTTACCATTATCTTTTTAGTTAGACACATTTTTGTTTGTTTTTTTTTTTTTTTAAGAGAGAGTGTAAAAAGAGAGAAATCAGCAACAAAAACATGCATTTGATTAGCAGCCATCTGCATTAATTGTGATAAGACTTTCCCTTGTTTTTTGGGGGGGTTTTTTGTTCCCTAGTCACAGTCAAATAGCACATACTGGCTAGCATTATAGAGTATTCTGAGGGAAGTTTTATGGTGCTGCAACCCGCTTTTCTTCTCGGGAGTAAGGAGATTTTGAAGCTCGGGTCTACATGCATAAATTCCTAATCAAGCTGTCTGGGGATCCACAGGAAGAGAAATTCCAAACCTGTAGGTTGGGATCTCAAAGCAGTATATTAGCTCCTTCCTCTCCCATCTGCATAGCTCTTCCAGAAACTTTTCTGTAACCACCCTTTAACAAAGGGACCGGAGTGCAACAAAGCAGAGCAGCTACTTTCACAAGGATTTCTGCCAGGATTAAACAGAACATGCTGCGGGCACTGCCCACCCCAGGTCTCTCCTCCAGGTCAGGATGCATCTCCAGAATACTTGGTACCTAGCTCCAGGATGTCTGCATGCAAGGCTTTCAGGGCTCAGGAGAAAGGGAAGGAGCATGCCATAGTGGTTCTGCTCCTTCCTTTCAGATTATGTTACTTTTTACTCTGTTTTGAGCCCCTGGATTTTTTATGGCATACAGGAACAAGTGGCACCGCTTTGAGATGACAAAGAAATCTACTCTGCCACTTGATACGACATGGACCCCCAGTCACATAATCACCTGTGCAATTTTAGATACGTATTTACACAGGATATGTGCTTGAATTGTAAGCGTACGTGTTTGCAGATTCACTGCTGCTAACTCAGGAGGTACAGCAGAAGAGGGATCACTAGCCCTGTTTCTTACACTAAAGAACCTCCTACTTGCTGCTGTCAGAGACAGGGATACTGGCCTAGGTGGCCCTTTGGTCCGACCCAACAAAGCAAATGTGTTCTCAACTGAAAAAGTGAAGAACCATAACACTAAGCAAGTTTTAAATTCAGTACACACATTATAACCATAGTTAGCAGAAGTATTTAAGTATAGTTACTTGAACCCCATCTGGATGGCTGTACATTTTCAATTGCTAATTATTGGCAATGTGAAGGTAATAATTGGCTCTTAGTGGATCTGAAGTCTGAATGTTGCTGGAAAAATTCAGTAAGATGTACAGCTTAATAAATGCACTGCTTTGATTCTGCATAACTCACAGTTTCAATGTAGTATATCGCTTCATAGAAAAAAAAAAAAGCAAAACCCCATCAAACCAAAAAAAAAAAAAATTAAACTACAGAATATTTCTGACCTATTAATTTTTCCTGATAATGAAGTGCTTTGGGATGATTTCTAAAACTCACTTTCATTTTGATGCTTCATTTATTTTAATCTAGGAAATAATTAGAGGGAAATCAAATCCATCCCCACAGCAGAATATTCACCTGTCTAAGATGCAGCTCATTTGCAGCTAGTGATTTCTTTCTCAATTTTTCCTCAAGTGTTCAAACTGGGCGTTACATCCCATGCTAAACTTTATTTAAATCAATGTCCATTAACAACTTATCACTAAAACTAAACTCCAGGGTGTTTGATGAATGGGTGGCTTTCAAAACAGGCTTGTGCGTGTCATTTGTCTGGCTTGAAGGGGCCAAATTCTGCTCTCAGTTACAAACATGCAGTCAACAGGAACTGGACTAGCAATGATACTGGAAAGAACAGACAATGTTGCTTAATCCCCTGGGTCTCATACTTTATTTTGCCCTAATCTTCAAACTGCCCCCTAACACAAATGTCAGCTTTTCATAGCAACTGGTAGGGATGTGCAGAAAAAGGGAATGGAGGCACATTTTTAGAACCAATTGAAATGTATTGAAATGGGCAGAAAGGGAGAGACAAAAAGGAAAACAGCAAACTGTTTGCTATTAACAACAGCACAAAGGCATTTGGTGCTCGATTCCTTTCCCACAAGTGTTTTAGACCAGTGTTTTTCAGTTGGCTTAAACCTTGTGTATATGTGATCCAAATGAGGCCCCAGAGTCGGAAGCTTGCACAAAGAGCCACTCCTCACACAAGAAACCCCACCTAAATCAGCCACCCTGAAACACCGGCAATGTCTCTAAGACAGTTCTGTTCCACCTTTGAATGCCCGTCTCCACCGGGCAATGGATTTTTTCAACCATATTGTACTGATATCCTAGCACCTGAGTCCAGAAACTCGTATAAACTCTGAACACAAGCTTACCGTCAATTAACGTTTTCAATGAAAACGTCTTGATCCTCAATTGAAATCCTTCTGGAAAAGACATTCTAGCAGGGATATGCAATTATCAGATCAAGATACAGTACATAAAGATAAAGGAGAAATGTTTTCTAGATGCAAAGAGAGCTGTTTACCTGAATTCCTATTCATCAAGGATGAAAAGTTAAACATGCTATGAACACAGATCAGATATGAAAAAAATCTCTCTGGGAAGCAATGAATGTAAATGCCTTGGGGCGAGGATACCTAGATACCCAGTAACAACATCATCTGTAACCAGATTATCCTCAGAAATGATGAATTCATGCTGTGAAGAGACAATAGTTTATCTCATTACAGGATAATCCTGTTATAAATTATTTTGCAGTCAAAATGTGCTGTAAAAAGATTTCTCATTTGGGCAAACATCCGAAGCACATATTGCAGTTCTCCGCTGACTGAGTTATTTGTAACTGTACATTTAATCTCTTATCCCATACTTAAATATATTTATAAAATGTTTGGAATAACCAGTGATTAAACAAAAGAGGATACAGCTGGCTACATAAAGAACAAGATCCATTTTTCAGCCCAGAGTCCTGAAATATACTTAATATTAAGGGTTAACATTTGATATAGCCAAAACCAGAGAAAGATTGCTTCATGATGTCAGCATGACTACTGAGCACAGCAACAAATGAGCATAAAAACACTATACTTTAAAGAAAGGCTTCCTCAAAATCACTTGGCTCCTTGGAAAGTCAAATATTATGAGTTTACCAGCTGTACAAAAGGTACCTTCATATCAACTCTACTTTTTCTGCTACCTCTTTCAATACCAGGATAGTAAAACTGTCCTTGAAATCATCATAGAATATGAATTACATGTTTAAGCTCCTGCTAAGTGACATGAAGAGGACAAGGCAGATATTGTAAAGTAGAAACGAGCCTACAGGCAAGTGAAAAACCACTCCCTCTTACATGAATCTGAGGAATTGCTTAAAACGAGGGTTTCACTGAAACAGAAAGCATTACTGTGCTTTCCTCTTAATCTTGCCCCACCATAAACACTTCTGTGCAAGCTGCATCACTTTTGCTCCAATACAAAATCCCATTACCAGGCAAATTCTTACTTTAAAATAGTGAAGAGAAACTATTATACGGTATCTTGAGGGCAGACTATTACATACAGCTGGAAAAAGCAAAGAAGATTCTCTTTATACTGACAAGGAATCTCCTACCTCGTTCTATGCCAAGGCCAGCCAAAATAGGAGGCCTCCCAAAGTGATGGCTGCGTGGACACACAGGATCCCATGACTTATTTCTCCTCCCCTCCCTGTGGTTGACTGTCAACCTAACTGCAAAAGCATACATCTTCACTATATATATATATATATCTATATAGATATATACACAAAAAACAACATAGTGAAGATAAATACCCAGTGACACCTAGTATGTTTGTATGGGATGCAACTCATTTCAGAAAGGCTCCCCGGGCATGTCTCTATGTCGCCGCCCTATGAAGATGTAGCAATGTGCTGTGTTGCCTTACAGTGTGCTACAGCAACTTAGTGATCATGTGGGTCTCCATGTGATCACCAGCTACGTCGCCATAGTGGCCTGCTAATCATGTAACTGCCCATACTGCATCATGCTTTAGTACTTCCAAAAGGCATCGTAGCACTGGCGCCATACAGCAATGTGTAGATGCGCCCTTGTTTTAGTCCATTGCAAGGCTTGTATTCCACTTACTGACCAATGAATACAGTAAGCTGTTTTTAAAAACCCTGTATCCATTCATTACAAAGGAGCAATTTTACATAAAATTTTCACACATTTCAGCTCAGATATGGCGAGTCATTTATCAGCATACCACGCGACTCAAAAACAAATGAATATGCAAACCTACGTCTCAAGACTCTGAATCCATGATGATGCCTGGGAACCAATTTATAAACTAACAAGTGTGGATTAGTAGATTATTTGCTCGAATATCAGTTCAAATTATTAAAATAACAAAGTCATCAAATACTACCATAGTAAGTGTGAAAAAGAAGCCATGGAGACTTAATCAGATCTGTACCTCCTACACCACATTCTACTACTTCGCTAAAGACTGAAAAAGTTTAAAAGGGAGGCTGTAAAACCCCAAAGATTTGTTTCATTATTAGGATTATGGTTAGATCATGCTGACAAAATGAAAAGGAAGTCCAAATACTTACAGGTTATCTTTTTTCTTCTTTTTGTATGGATCCATTAGACGAAGAGTATCTCTGATCACAGCTACTTTCACTTCCTCATCAACAGGGCTTGGAACATTTTCAAACACCCCTGGAGAAAGCTTTAATTTGCAAAAGGATACAAGTGTTCAGTGCAGAACTGCTGCTTATTTATTATATAGCTGCTGAAGTCTTAATCATAGCCCACAGGTTTTAAATACAGTGACAAATGACAGAATACTTCAATAAAAATGATCTTTTAATACACTCAAGATGACATGACAAGTTTAGTCAAGCCCCCTAAAAAAAAAAAAAAAAAAATGGGAGGAGAAAAAGATCATAGCCACCACTTTTACCATTTATATTAAGTACAAAAACAAAACAAGAAATGGTTAGCATTTCCCTAAATATAATTAAATTCAACTGCAAGGGATGTTGAATAAATATATTTACGACAGAGATGATGGAGAGCTTTCACAATTCCAATAAATCATGTTTCAAGAGTATAAGATTAGCAGTGACTGTAAAGCAAAAAATTACAAAGAACCTTACCAGTTTCATATTAGCAGACAGCTTTCATCTTTCAAAAAAAAAAAAAAACACCAAAAAAGCCAAACTTAAAAAATTATATTCCAAAGTCATTGTCAAGCTGAAAGGTCTTACCTCTTGTTCATGTTCTATTCTCATGCTGGGGTTTGCATTTACTTCGAGTAACATAGGCTTCAAGTTTTTCATTAGGAGAATGTCAAACCCTAAAATCTGTGCATAACAAACAATACAACATTACTTTCGCCCTCTCCAGTGCCTTTTAGAGAATCTGCTTCCTGCTATGCACTATGTAGATGCTGTATCCATCCAAAAGGACTGTTCTCCTACCTGATCGATGGCACAGGACAGCCCAGGAAGATTACTTAAATTCTTTGTTTTTCACCCCCACACTTGAGGTGGTGCATCCGCAGAAGAGGCAGGCCAAAACCCCATTCCCACTCAAAGTCTTAATACACAACTTTAACTACTTGTGGGCAGGCTGCCACACTTAATGGTGAAATACTCATTCCTATCATTCTTTCCTTAAGACAAAGACCTGGGGTCATTTCTTGGCTCTGCCCCAGACTTCCTGTTTGACCTGATCCATGCCTCACTTCCTCACCCATCTCTTACACTTTTTGTCTGCTTAGATACTTAGATAATAAGCTCTTTGAAATAGGGACTCTCAGCATATCTATACAGCACCTCCCATGACAGGGCCATGATTTCAAGGGTTTCTTTGGTATGGCCACCTGGCCTTGCTGAGCCATCTAAGCATCCTCTGGGCATAATAAATAGTTTCAAGTTGACCTCTGAAACAGAGGGTCCCCCTCTGAAAGAATCTCACTGGACACACCGCCTGCTTGCCCTTAACTGGTTGATGCAACTTGGTGATTTAGCTGATCTTGTTCAGAATATTGACTGTGGAAAAGAGGGTAACCTGGGACTACCACTGTCTCTAGTTCACCAGATTATTCAGTAACACGCACCTGCCACTCCTATGCAGCTGATGGGGGTGGGGGAGAAGGGAAAGGAAATTAAACTGCCTGTATTTTCACAATCTCTCTTGTTTTGCCCATAACAATATTTTTTCAGCAAACACAATGATTTGCATGGCACATGGCTCCTTGAATGCTGCCTTTTGGAGGCTATTAACAAACTGGAAGGGACCATGAGCATGTATGAAAACCCACTACTCTTCTACAGAGGAAACCACTGGATTCATCTAGTTATTATGTGCGACTAGGATACATATTTGTTGCTGTTTAGTGGCTCCTTGCTGTGGGGAAGGAAAAAAAAAAAGTCTGAGATGTATTTATCAGCAAAGCATTTTATTGTAGATGTAGACACTAATTGGTAAATTGCTGCTTCAGTGGTTATTCTCACTGTAATGATAGAGTTTGCTAATATAATCATAGCCTGTGCCTATTTTTCTGGCAAGACCTGCCCAAATTACAGTTCTGGAAGGTCACTTGTGATGTTGGACATTTCATGCAAATCAACTTTCTTCCTTTTCTCTTAAAAAAAAAAAAAAAAAAAAAAACCAACAAAAAAACCCAACAGCAAAAATCCCAAGCAGAGGGAGGACATTTTCCCTAACTTAATGAGATGTTCGGAGTAGACATAAAAGCACTTAAACGAACGGGTCAGTTAGAAACCATAGTGTGACAGACCACCTAACTTCTGGGAGTGGCAATAACCAGTGTTAGTCTTTCATGTGCACAATACAGACGGTCACCCAGATCCTAAAATCTGGTAGGAAGAAACCAGAGAATAGCACTAGGAAATGTGCTAAATAAATGGTAGGCCCTTCCTGTCAGCACGTACCTTTTGGTCATCAGTGACCTTCAGAATGCTTCTATCTAAATATACTTACTATAATCATCCTTTGATAAAACAAGATTTGAAATTAGTAGCATCAGTGTTGCATTGAATCTGCTCAGCACAACCACCTGGAAGTTTCCTAGTGAAGTGAACACAGCTACAATTGATTGAAAACCCACAGAAGCCCTCAGGGCAGCTGTTTCAGAGTAGGGGTAAGGTGCCTCTAGTGGCACTCTAGATTGTGAATGTTTAAGGGGCACTGTTCAGCATAAAGCTACTCTCCCCACTAGCAATCAACAACAGAATGACAAGAAAGCTTTAATGAAAAGATGTTAACATACAGAAAATTAATCCATGTGCAAAAATAATTGAACTCCAATTTCATTATAGAAAGGAAAACAGCAAAGAAAGTGATGCACTCTCATGGGAATGCACCATCTAAATCAAAATTCCTAACCTACCTGGAAGCAAGTTGGCCCAGGTTTTCCTGTTGGTATATCAGACTGGTAATAAACTTTCAGTTCTGGAGTCAGTGCAACAATCGTTTTAATCACCAGTGAAATGATATCTGACCACACTTTCTTGATGTCAACCCCTTTGGAAGACAATCTGTAGAGGATGCTTGAAAAAGTCCTTTTGCTGCCAGTGTTTACACTGTCTGAATGGATGAAGTTCCCACTGTGAATATTCAGCGAATAGTTTGTTAAGTGCATAAATACCTGGTGCAAATTTTTTAGGGTAGGTTCTTGATAGGGCTCTGTACAAAATCTAGAGAGTCCGTCTTTGGCTATGTAAATTTCTAAAGGTTCTAAAGATTTCAGTAACACATAGAGACGGATATCAAATTTCAGCTTGTCAATCAGCAGTGGTTTACAGATGTATTCCTGGACAACAGCTGGCCTGCTCTGTAGGTTTCCAGCCAATCTAATGTCACTGGGATCTTTAATGAGGTAGATTCCATCCCCTTGACATCCTCCGTCAGGTTTCACAATGAACGTGGGCTTCCAAGCTGGGTCATTTTCTTTCATCATGCGAACCTACAAAGGAAGGAAGAAGATAATTATGTTAACAAGGGCCATGAAATACAGGGAAAGAATTCTTTGGTTATTGCAGAAAGAAAAACTTCAGTGCTATGACATCTCAAAAGAAATCCTACTTACAAGCAGCCCATGCAAAAACTACACGTCGACAGCAAGGAGAGGTAAGTATAATGCAGGTAAGAGTGGAAGATACTTATGTTGACAAATACACAAGACCAGATAAATAAGGTGAATGGGGAGTTACCGAGCTAGAGAAAACCTTGTTGTATACAGGATCCCAAAAAGCCTCCTACCAGCACAGTGTGACGCTTCTGTTTGAAACACTTCTTATTAATGAGGATTGCTATTGCGGACATGACTCACTAATACAGATCTAGTTTGGAGACGAGGCTTTTGTGCAGCATCTGATACTTACTCAGGAGGAGAGGCTCATGAAGCCTGAACAAGCAGCCTTGTACACAAACGATCCCGAGAGAAAGGAAGTTGCCTGGCAGAGATTTTTATTCAATTTGGGTTACACCAGGTTACATCCCCTGGGGATGGGATTACATCCTCTGTCATCCTGAAGACACTGTGCATCCACTGTTAACCAACACTCCCACCAGCAAGAGCCCAGAATGTCTTCCAGTCTGATTGTCAGATCATTCCACAACGGCATGAAAGAAGTCTCTTCCCAACACTTACCTAGATCCAGTCCATAAAGTTAACGTGTAAAACACAAGTCTGTGTTGTGCCTTTATTCAAAAAGACTTGTGCAAACCAATGTTTTAATCAGAAGACATGCACTAGACTTTCTTGCCAAGTGCTTACCTTCCCTAGCAACAGCAATGTGGTATTAAAGGATGAAAGCACGTTTCCAGCCCTAATGAAAGTAACTCCAGTTGTTTTGCTTGTAAGCACTGCACAAGGAAGTCAGTTCATTTCCAGACTTGAAAAACATTAACATAAATGGCCTTTTCTTAACCTGTGTTTCCAAAGCTAGCTGGGGCACAACACAGAACCGTGAATCTAGTGAATTGCTATAATGGTAAGAAAGAAAACATCTTCAAAACATGAAATAAGCACAACAGATGCAAAAGCGACTGCCTAAGTTGGCAGAAACCTTTAAACAATACGAGATGCATCTGCCCCATTCTTCCCAACAGACAATAAATCTGATACTCATTTGGGCTTTTAATACCGCATAGCCTGGGTACAGCAGCAGTAAGACTGGTGTCATAACTTATTTTCCTGAAATGGAGCTCAGCGCTTCAACATTTGAAAAAGACACAGCTTTAAAAACTGGGAATCTGAAAGCGTACCCTCAGCATAATGTTGAGGCTAAGAAAGATGGGCACTTCAGACTGTCAGGCAAACTCCTAATTTGCAAGGAGGGCTGGCACAGGAAGGACCCTCTACTCACTGAAGACAGATAGTGATCTCTCTTCATGCAATGCTTCAGCATCGTGCAGAGTGGAACACAGGCTTCTGCATCAAGAGGCGTGTCCCTCTATCTCCATCTTTTCTTCATGATTATAGGAAACCTCCATCTTCTTCATCACCTGCCAAGCACATGTCAAGTCTGCAAGCATTTTCTGCTGCCACAACTTCACTTCCTCTGCAGACTATCAAGACTCAGTACCATCAGTTATGTGGCGTGGACTTTAGAGCACATTCACAGGGTTACAAGTTTCTTCGGGTAAATGTGATTTCTTTTATTAGACCAACTAAGTAGTTGGAAAAATTGTTCTTTGCAAGCTTTCGGGCACAGACACCCTTCTCCAGGCATAGGGAGTGTTATGCACACAGTGACTTAAGCCTTCCCACTATCACTCCTTCCTGAGATACCCATTTAAAACTTTATAGGAGGCACATATCTGCTGGGACCAATCATGGCAGGAAATGAGAAGGGTACATTTTCCACCAATGAGTGATTTGTTACCAGAGAGACAATACTGCATAAGCTAGGAGACACTAACAATCAAATACATCACCAAAACCTACATTTTCTTCCTTTGAACAGACTATACCATGTGCATCTCCAGTGACCAGTTGCCTCTGTTCTTCCATTTGGAGCTGATTACTTCCTGGAAATTACACCAAAGGTACATTACAGCCTGACATTTCACTACCAGTCTTCTGATCAACATGAACAAAGAAAAAATTCTTTCCACTCATTTCGGCAACTGCTGGCAGTGGTTTTGCTCCACATTAAGGAAATCTGTTGCTAGCAGATTACAATTCACATGTTTTCTCTGAGCATACATAGTGTAAAATAAGCAAGGTGAGGAAAGTAAGTCCGGAGTTTGACGGTATTTAATACTGTATCAAAACCTTTGGTTGAATCTCAAATGCATTACATGCCTAGCCTTGTATCTTTCCCCAGTTAGCACTGCTCTTAGATTTTCGAATTACTTCCCCGATTTCTCCTTTATTGTACTGGCTCGGTACGACGCACGCTGCCCCCTAGTGGATGATTGTAAACAACGGTGGGGATTCGAAACAAACAACAAGCAACAAATCCAGATTTAAATGGGAAAAATGCTTAGAGAAATAGCTACACAGAATAAATGCTAATTCTTCCACGGATAACTTTGTATCTCAAGATAAATGCTTCTAATTTGCATCTGCATGGTGTGGATTTCTTAAGAATTATGTCAAGTGCTTTTCACTGTTAATGGGTGATAATGGATTGCCTCCAGGAAAGGACTGTGTATATTCCACAATTTTTCATTGCAAAAAATGCATCTTGACAATTGAATCGATTATCCTGATGGTTAAAAGGGAGATGCCCTTACTAGAAAGGAAATTATTAGATAAGAAATTTTCTATCCTGTCACATGGCATCTCTCAATAAGCCAGCATGAAGCAGCAAGTCACCGAGGTAGCAAGGTTAGGGGAGAAAAGTATAACAAGAAAATAAGGTCTCCCTTAGAAAGCTGATACTTCAAACACCAATCCATTTTGACACTGCAGCTTGCCATGCCTTCCCAGAGAGGAGGCTGCTGCTGATGAAAGCAAGTCCTCTGCCTCACATGTACCAAGAGCGTTGCTTCAGAACCAGGTGGCCGCTTTGCGTACTCCTTATGGTGGAGCAGATGCCCTTTTGTCTATGCTGCAACGCATTTTTGCAGTGTGAGCCTTTATTACTCGTGGTCCTTGTTTCCCCAGTACCCTGTGACGTGGCCATTTCCTTGGCACAATGGCTTAAGTGCTAGGTCCTAGACCCTCACAGTAAATACAGGAAGCAGTTCCACCCAAATCTCCACCTGTGGCCTATCAATGTCTGTAAGCACTCAGAGCCTTACCGGTTTCCAAACCTGGCCTCAAAACCATAAATGGAACAGGTGAGAATTGCAGACATGTCTATTCACATACAAGCATAAAACATCAGGAGTGAGAAACAAATGGGAGTCGCAAAATTCTGAACAGGATCCAGCTAGCCCTCAAAATTTGAAGGTATTTGAATCTGGAGTTTCTACCAGGCCCATTAGTGATTTTTGCATATTGACATGAAGAGAAAGGAGAAGAGAAGAGAAGAGAAGAGAAGAGAAGAGAAGAGAGAAATCTGGCCAGTTTTAATTCCCTAAAGAACCAGTTATCTTATCTGTAAGAAAATTAGATCATTCCATTTGGAAAGAACTGCATTAATACTTGGCAGGACCAAATATAATTATTGTAATAGGGTTACTTAGCCTTTGAACACCACTTGTTAATTGATACATTCATTTAGCAAGAAGTGTTGGGAGGCTAACATCATTCCCAATTGGACACAGTGAATCAGAATTTAACAGGACACTGATAACTAATCTCTGGGCACAAATCTGCACGTTTGTAGGCTGCATATCTTCTATCAACACTTTCAAAGACAATATAATTATTTTTTACATCAGAGAAGAGAACAATCACCCCATCTAAATTGCTTACATTATGACATTCCCAAGAAACAAAGTAAAGTCTCACAAGCTTCAACTTTATTTCTGAGAGGTAGGACCAACAACAACAAAAAAAAGTAGCAACTGGGTCATTGTGAGCACCTGACAGTATCTGCTGGATATATGGATCCCTCATGTTACATGAATAACTGCTACTACCTAAGTTTTACTTGTTTGTACACAAGTAATAAGTCTCTATAGTTTGAGTTTTTACTAAGAAGCCTCAATAAAGGACAGAGAATATTCTGAGCAAAGGATCAGGAAAGATTCAGAGCAATCCAAAATAAAAGTGAATCATAAAATATGACGTGTTTTACAACACATTGCAAGGGAAGGAAAGAACATAGGCATATTTTTAAGTTACCAAAGTTGACATGCCTCAAAGGTATTAAGTTTGCCAAAGATAAGTCGAGCCATCTTGGGGGACTAGATGCCTTGGGAGTCTTGAACACATGTGCAGTCCATTCAAAAGCAGCATCACTGGGCATATCTACACATGCATTCATGAGCTGTAATTGGCACTCCTACACAGTAGCGCCAGCACATGTTTTTTACGTGATGCCAATGCACAGTAGCCTAATTCTACTGCGCATTAGCACAGCTTTCACCATGATGCACTCATGTGCAGCAGAATTAGTCTGCTGGGCTTTTAGCATCTTGTGCAGATGTGCCCACCAGTGCTCAAAAGCTGTTGCCATGTGAAGCTTGTTGGTGACTGGAAAGTGTCTTTAGCAGGCCAGCTGTTAACATACATGTCAGGAATGGCAAAAAATAAGTTTGGCATCCACTGGCAACCTTGTTGGTAGTCTTAGCAGTGAAACCAAGAACTGAACAGGCGACAAAGAATGAGCCATCATGTCACCCTTTACATCCAGCTCAAAGTAGAACAAAACTTTGTACAGTTGTTCTCAGTGCTGTATTAGTACTATGGCTACAGTACTACGGTCTCCAAGACTATAAATCCAGCAACCTTCATGAACATTACAGTCACACACATTTTACTTGGGAGGGAAAAATAACAAACACACTCCGGCACATGCTGCACTTTTCAGAAAAGAAGTCTAAAATGCCAGTTCCCATGAA